GTGAACTTAGAAGAGGAAGAAGAAGAACTCTCTCTCTCTCTCTCAGTCCGGTACTAACCTGTGAAGGTGGCGCCTTGTTGCAGGTACATCGAAGACGAAGCTGGAGCTATGGTGCCGCAGGTAAGTCTCCCTTGCCTCCGCCAACCATCTCTCTCTCTCCAACGCTACTCTAGCTCCTAATAACGCCCAACGCTGAAGACTACTGCTAGCGCTACTACTACTACTGCAACGCTCCTCCAGAGTGCTGCTGCCGAATCCTGAAGACTACCTCCTGCCTCCTGCATGTGAAGTGCCCGTGAACTACCTGCAGCCTGCAGGGCGGGCCAGTCTTATATAGTGCTCGCTGGCCCGTCTAGGAGGCTGCTCTTGCCAATGCCAAAACGTGCCAGACCCCGACGTTGAAGTTCAAACAAAGGTTGTCTTGAAAACAGGCCCAAAATGGCCTGTGCTAAGACCCTGGTTTGGTGCCCTAAGTTTCAGGCTGAAACGACACAGGGCCTGTAGGCCCTTGTTTTCAGGCTTTCAGGCTGAAACAACCCAGAGCCTGTAGACCCTTGTTTTCAGGCTTTCAGGCTGAAACGACACAGAGCCTGTAGGCCCTTGTTTTCAGGCTTTCAGGCTGAAACGACACAGAGCCTGTAGGGCCCTTATTTTCCGTCTGGTCGGGCCCTGCAGGCCCGTGTGGCAGCGCAGTATGCCACATCTCCTCTGCCAGACACTCTCCATATCAAGATTCGAAGAGGGGAGGAGATTAAACCACTTATTGTCACCCCCACCACCCCCACCCCCGTCCAAATCTGCTTGCGGCATGCTGCTGTCACGGACGTCTCTGCCAATCCCCTCGACATCACCGCTCTCCATGTCGTTGTTGCCATGATCGCCGCCTCCGTCGCCGTCATCGTTATTGTTCTTGTTATTGTTGTTGTTGTTGCTGTTGTTACCGCCGTCACTGTTGTTGTTGCTGTCCCCCTTCTCGTTCTGCTCGCCGATCTCACCTGATCCCTGCTCACCTTCGTCATTGTTGTTGTTGTTGTTGTTGGCACCATCGATGTTGTTGTTCTTGTCGCTGTTGACACTCCCAATCCTCTCGACGTCACCACGCACTGCCCCGCTGCTGCCATGGGTGCCACCACCGTCTTCGTCGGCGTCGTTGTTGTTGTTGTTGTTGTTGTTGTTTTCGTCGTCATTGTTGATGATATTATCATCCTTCTCACCCTGCTCACCATCACGCCCGTTCCTGCGTGCCATCGTCATTGTTGTTGCTGTTATTGTTGGTGTTGTTGTTATCATCCTTCTCGCCCTTCTCGATGTTGTTGTTGTTGTTGTTGTTGTTGTTGTTGCTGTTGTTGACATCCGTCGCTCCCTTCCCGCCCATCTCACCCAATCCTTGCCGCTCCTCAACCACCGCTGCTGTCACTGCCATAAACACCTTCTCCACCTCCCACTCACCTTCCTGCTCTCCACCACCCAGCTGCAGACGAGTGACACCATCAACAACTTGATAGGAGGGCGCTGTCAGGACATCCCACCGTCCGCCACTCTTCTGCTCATCCGTATCCCACTCACCTTCCTGCTCTCCACCACCCAGATGCGGATGAGTGACACCATCAGCACTGACCTGATGGGAGGGCGTCGTCAGGACATCCCACCATCCGCCACCCTTCTGCTCATCCGTGTCCCACACATCCGCATCACGGTCCAAGTCACTTTCCACTCCCCAATCCACACACCCTGCACAAATAGTAGCATAGTAGTTGACGACGTCCTCCTCATCTTGCCCATCATCCTCAGCATACGGGACGTTGTATTCCTTGTGAAAAAGAGTATCTCCATGTAGCAGTCCCCCCACCAACTCCATCACGGACCCAGACAACTGCGCCACTATATATTTATACGTCGATCTCACAGCTGGCGCTACCCCTGCCCCTGCGTCACGGTCGATGTGACCAACAGCAGGTGCCACGTGGCCAATCAAGAAGCCACGCTCATCTGCCAGGCGCGCGCACAGGCCTAGCACCCACATACCCGGACAGCCGCGACACTATATATTGACACATCGATCTCACAGCTGGCGCTACCCCTGCCCTCGCGTCACGGTCGACGTGACCAACAGTAGGTGCCACGTGGCCAATCAAGAAGCCACGCGCATCTGCCGGGTGCGCGCACAGGCCTAGCAGCCGAGGAGCTCCCCTCCCCAGGCGCTAGCCTCGCCGGGGGAACCGGGCCTTACCGGTCCCGGCATCAGGGTGCTAGCGCTAGCGCAGCTTTCCCCTTGCCAGGCCCCCCTCCAGTTCTTCCAAAAAAGTGTTCCCTGAAGCTGCTTTCTGAGGTTTCTTTTTCTGAAAGAATTCGACCGTTTTCACAGCTCTTCCGCACTATCACATCTCCACATATACGGATGCTGGTCCCGATTTCCTGCTCATACACATAACATATGTGTTAGGGTTGCGTGCCTTGGTCCGATCGATAGGGTTGGGCTGCTTGGGGAGGAGGTCAATCAAAGCCTCTGCGACATATATTGATTGATGAAACATATAGACAGTATCGGATTCATAGAATGACATATCCTGACATCACTGTATAGGGACGCTGGACCCGATTTCCAGCTGATACACATCATATCATTGTACAGGGATGCTGGACCCAATTTCCAGCAGGTGCAGCTCCCCACCAATAGATGGAGCCTTCGACGCAGGGGCCTACTTATCGGGGCTGCTCTTATCACCTCGTTAAGTAGGTTTTCCCACATGCGAAGTTATTTAAAAAAAAAAAAAAAAAAAAAAAA